GCCCACAATGCACTACAATCTCGACCCAACTTTTTTCCTTGAAATGGCTAATAGATTATTATGTACAAGAATAATTTCAATARTTGGAAGAGCAAAACCCTGTGTTTGATCAAATAAGACGATAACACAGGCCAGAAAATATATGGTTAGAATATCACTATGATACACTGAATTGAAATATGGGATTCTAATTTAGACCAACTATTGTTCTGGACTGACTAGCTTCTCGTACATGTGAAAATGCTTTTATGTTTCCACGTGAATAAGAGGCTAGTCAGTCCTGGACAATAGTTATTTAAATTTATATTTTGATTCAGTGCATAGAAGGTAGTTTTTTTTTTTTTGAATTTAGTTTATCCTATTTTTAATATGTTCATCGGTATATTGTGATAATGAGACAAAAGTCGTAAGATGATGTTAACGATAGMCTATGATGTAATGAGTTAAAAATAGAGCTATATTGATAAAATACAAATTACTACAATTGATTATCAACATAGATAACTACACCCAAACTGACACATTTATGTAATTGCTGCAATATTCAACGATGCACCCAGCTGATCTGAGAAAAGTTTATAGACAATCGGAATTGAGAAAATTTGCAACACTGAGGTTTCACTTTTCATCTTTAAGGAGGCTGGAAAGCGTTTTGTGCATTCACATTATGAACTAAAAAAATTATTGTGTTGTCATAGCAACACCTTATGTCATTTTTTCATGCTCATTGTGATCTTTGTTTATGGTCTTTGGCTTTCTGGGTTCACACTTGCTGTCATATTATAGCCATAATAATTTTTTTAGTTCATAATGTGAAGGCACAAAACACTTTCCAGCCTTCTTAAATAATTTTCATGCCAACAAATGAAAAAAAAAATGTTGCCAATAAGAGGCTGGTCACAGTAACACAATAACTGATGAGTTTTATATTTTTATTGCAGTGGTGAACAGGTTTTTATCCATTTTTTGCTGGTAAATTTTCACAGGTTTCATGAAAGTTTTGAAAGCCTTATGAGAGTAGTACTTTTGCATTGACGTCATTTTTCTAAAGTCACTATTTCAGATCAGCTGGACWTMRAGACTGATAAACATTTTCARATTTYGAGCAAACATGCTTATGGAGGAAAGAAAAACATCAAGATTTTTTTTGTATGTAGGGATCAACTTCTACATTTTATTCTATTTGTTTCTGAGCTTTCTGATCTTAGATCGATTTTCAATGCTTTTCATTATGGGTGTTACATAAAGTGCTTCTATTTTGTTCGCTTGATCACTACTGGATGCTTTCATTTTCTAGCGAACCAAGATTATATTATTCTTATCATTTACTATAATTTATTTTCAGGGGAAAATAGTGTTACAAATGATTGAAAAAATGATTGAAAAAATGACGGAACTGATTACATGCCAGATAAGCCAGCGTAAGCACTAACCATAGAGAAAAATCACAGAGTGAGGTGAAAGGAATTGATACAAAACAGGAAAAATAATGGCTAAATAGCTCAGAAACAAACAAAATTAAATGTACAGGAAACAAGAGTATAGATAGCTTTCTCGTGACGTCATAGCGGCCATGTTGGTGTACCAAAACAATACATTTTCTATCCTTTTGGAAATAAACTCTATTTTCTCCAAAAATCGTGCAGTAAGTTTCTATTGTTTGGTACTCCAATATGGCTGCCTTGTTGTGTGASTGAAAGCACTCTATGTTAATTCTTTTCAAAAAAATTATTCACTCAAGGTAAATGTGTCAGGTGTAAAATAGGCAAACATTGCAACTGAAGTAAAAGCATTTAATATACACAGCTATTTCAAAAAAGGTGGTGTAGGTTTTGTCGCATGTTCTGTACCAAGCCTGAAATTCACTACGACATGAAACTTTACCAAAGTTTGTCTGGACTTTCACTGGTTTTATTTCTTCTGTAATACATTTGAAGCTTGATGAGAATCATGCAAGATACAGCATGAAACAGCAGTATAAATACTTTGTCATTATATTACTACTAGTACCCCTGGGCCCAGTTGTTCAAAGCCTGAATAGTGCTAATCCTGGGTTAACTCTTAATAAGACCTATAGAGTTAATCCTGGATTAGCGCTAATCCAGTTTTGAACAACCCGGCCCTGAAACATTAAYATTAGAGCGAGCGACTTTTTAACCTGTATGTAGTGTACAACGTTAACATTAAAAACTAATGATTAAAATAAGAACATGAACGGAAAMGCTATATCTATTCACAGAGGGTCTAATCTCAGACTATCTCTATAATAAGCTCAATCTCATAGCAATAACAATTATGACACCATATTAGAGGACGGTAATAATTTGAAGATAATATATTGATCTGTATCTTTTTTTTTTCTACAAAAGTTCAAGTCTTTTTTTTTGTATAAAATTCAACATAATTTTACATGAATGTAACCTTGGGTGGAATAAGAGTTGAACAAAACTGTGACCAAAACCTTAATTCTCCATACAAATATTCCTTGTGTCTATCTTTTCAGTAAGGAGAATTAATAGGTTCTTCRCAGTTGGTCAAAATGTTTTTCAAAGACGGTCACCCCGCTTCAGTCTGTAAAACCAATTTTTTATAATCTATCTTTGTCTTTATTCGCTAGTCTGTCAATAAGCTCTTGTAAGGGTGCCAACTCACGTTTATCGATGAGACTGAATTCTTGGACGAAGAATATGAAGTGTTTGAATGATGTGTTAAGATGTGCTTCTTCTCCGAGGCTCACCACGTGTTTGAAATGTTGATGGTAGATGTGAGCGTAAACTCTAAACAAACGTTTAAGAATTGTCTTGGCGATGGTCAGAAAGTTTTTCGGAAATGGTACACCTGAATTAAGACAAAAAAGTTCCAGTGAGCAAAAGCTGGAGTTGGATTTAGAGGGGAACTAGCATGAAAATCTTCCAAAATTTAATTTGGCTGAAACTCCAATGGAATAATCTTTTAGGGTTTAATAATTACTGGTTAAAGTTTTTTCTTTATAATCCAATGGGAAGCATTATATTTTTACAAATTTTTATAGGTGTCTGTGATGTCACACACTCAACACTAAACATTGCTTCATACATTTCTATGTAAATAACTTCATGTGTTACCCTTTTTCTATTAAACCCAAAGGTTCGCTGAGGGACTTAACGTACATTACTTGTGGTTAGAATCTTTTTATGATATTTTTTTCTTCAATACTGAGTATAAAACTAGAAGATATTTTGATTACAAAATACAAAGAAATGTATGAAGTGATGTTTAGTGTTGAGCGTATGACATAACAGACTCCTATAAAAATTCAGTAAAATATAATACTTCCCATCCAATTATCAGGAAAAAAATTTAAGCAGTGATTATTAGACATTTAAAGTGCACCTAACCCCCCTAGCCATTATGAGACATCTGATTTACAATAAACATTGTGGAAACCTTGAGTATAATAATGATGCTTTATAAAAACTATTTGTATGAACCTGTCAAAATTTGTACATTTAATGAAGCCTGGGGTGACATCACAGTTAGTAACATATTCCAAGTATAAACCTTTCATAACTTAAAGAAGCAACCTTCAAATGAAGAAATATTTCACCCTTCAATTATTTACTTTATTTAGAATCAATAAGTATTGTATCAGGGGTTAGGTACACTTTAAGGGTTATTCCAGTAAAGTTTCAGCTGAATTTAAATTTGGATGATTTTCGTTCTAGTCCCCCTCATATTCTTTTAAGAGTAAAAATAGGAAGAAATATGAGAAAAGTGAGGAAGGGAGAAAAAAGGTAAATGTAATTTATTTTACTTCGATAACGCAGGGAGTGGTTGCCCAATTCTCCCGAGCCAAGGGCTCATGTTTAATGCGCTCGAAGGTGCGCCCTCTACCCCCTCTCCTTTTTACGGCTTTTTAAAGCTTATTGATGCTACACAGAACAGAGGGAAGTCAAAACAGAGGTGGAGATACTGAGGATTGAACTATGGACCTCTAGCTCTGAAGGCTGTGCACTAGCCAACTGAGCTACGCCTGCTCCTGTAATAATGGAAGGAAGGAAGAAAAGAAACATGGAAAGAAAGGAAACTGGAAAGAAAAAAATTTCAAAACCAGAGAGGTTTAGATGTATCACAGCAGAAGAGAGTTCTATTCTTTTTTATCATACATTTAGGGTTGATATCCATGTTATAAAGCTGTTATTAAAAACCATATCAGTGAAGTGACATGATATCACTTAATGGTGAACTGAAAATTGTAAATTTTGTTATTGTATCAACCTAAATGTGTAATAATTTTTTATTATACATTTAGGGTTGATACCGTGTTATAAAGTTGTTATCAGTGAAGTGATATGATATCACTTCATAGTGAACTGGAAACTGTGAGTTTGGTTATTGTATCGACACTAATTTCGTTATAAACAAATTATTATGTTACTGTGCGGATACTCCAAGTGAGATTACAATATATATAGCAGAGAACACTTTCATCATCATTTTACCATCACTGATGATGGCAGTCAAACCTGCCGAAACATGTTTGGTTTAAAACTGCCAAATATCAAAAGTGTCGTTGTTCGTTTAAAAATTTTAATTCACTTGTTGCTGCTTAGACCATCATGTAACTACTTTTAAAATTTGAGATTTAAGCTTACAAAATTTACATACCTATTTTTGAAGGAAATAGGGTCTCGTCATCAAGCTGGTCTTGGACCCACGTCATAAGGTAGTCAATATACTTGGGTGCCGAGCATTTTATTGGCTTTTTAATGGTCTGTCCGTCTGCCCAATGATATTCATATCTGCAATAACAAATGATTTGAGTCAAGATTTGCAAACGGAAACTCTCTTTTCCTCCTTGCAACGAAGAAATTTTTTGCTGAAAGTTTAGGTGCACAAAACAGCTTGCATTTTATTTTTGTAAAAATGAAACAGGCTTTCAATTAKGGATCAGAAACTTAAATATGATATTTCTGAAACACTTTACATGTGATTGGAAGACAAAAGCACCACTTCACATTGAAAGAAAGGCATTTTYTGACTTTCATTCCTTGGGCAAATAACGGACATAAACAGACCCTTAGGGAACTTTTCCATTCCATTTCAAGTCAAAACAAATTTGAATATCCCAAAACTGTTTTGCAAGCATGTTTCTTTAACAAAAGATGACCAAAGTTCTCGTCCATTCTTAGAAAAACAAAATGAAAGTGGGTGCCTCTTTCTCTTTCGATACCAATCTTTTAAATCCATCTTAAATCTTCTAAAACACTTTCAAGGTGAAGAAACGAGATTTTTTGCATAAGTTTGAGGGACTAGAATCTATTTAGGGGTTGAATCGAAGTGTCTGGATRAATTGCGTGTTGGCGATATGCCCGTACAAGAAAAAATCTAAAAGAATACGGATATTATGTTGATAGATTTATGACTTACTTTGGGCCTGCGGACATCACAGGGCAACTCTCAAGAGTACAGAATTCTGTTATTGTCCCATATAACATGTTAATCTGGTTGAAAAAATCCACCGCTGGAATCCAAAAAATAAAAAGAATTAGCGTCTTTATTGCTTAATTGAAACAAAGCGTTCTAATTGTGCAACCAACATGTGAAATGTATTCTGTTTTGATTAAACATTCCAAATGAACTCGATTATAAAAGCGAGGAATTTTAAGCCTTGTGATTGGAATTCAAGGCTCGATTTCTCAGCGWTGGTAGAGGAGGAATAGCTCTTACTGTTCACAGCGACCCATTCATTTAGGTCTTCTCCTTCGGGTAGCATTACAGCAAGACGTAGGTTGCCACTTCCTAGGGTTGCTGCTGCATGTCTCATCAAGTCATACTGATGCGTCCCTTCAGGAATATTCTTCTTAGGTTTAAAAGTCTTAGTAGAACGGCTTCCACTGCAAACAAAAAGGCTGAATAAACTACCAATGTCGTTGAGTGTTGAATACTAGGGTTCAATCAGATAAATAATATGTTGTATATAGATGGATTGAAGCGTCTAAGAAAGAGGAACTCGACTAAAAACAACAACAAAAATAGACCATAAACTTTATTCCTAAGCACTCAGAGTGACAAATATAATAGAATGAATCTTATACTTACAAAAGGAAGCTCATTTTTGCATCAAATCTCTAAAGAAGTCCACTAAACGGCAACGTTTTCCGAGGTATTGACTTGAAGATTTCTTCAGTAGAATCCAAGATGGCKGCCACACGGCTATATAGCCTCGCTTCCATCCTTTATATTGGAATTACGTCATTACCTCATATTTAGCATTCCTGTTCTTGACGTCATTTCCTTTTCAAATCAGCCGACCCCGTTGTTGTTTAAACACGGAAATCTGTTGTGTTTTTCCCGATAAAAAAGGAACTTGAATCCCAAAATCATTTTATTCTAATAATCCCCATACAATAATAGAATATGTTTTTACAATTCTGGCTGAGTCAAAGACTCCACSACAGTGTAAACATATCAAAGATATAGTTCCTATGGTAACGTTAAGGGTGTAGCCTGGCCCACTTTGCTCACGTTTTCAGGTGTGAGCTTCGCAGAAAACACGTGTAAACCGGATATGACCGGTTCTTGAACTAAATTATCAAAGCCGTATAAGAAGTTAAAAGAATAAGTGGTCGACTGTGAAGTTTTATCGCGTGATATAGAGAGGAGAATCATGTAATCATAATGAATATATCGATAATGATGACGTAGAGTTCTTAACAGCGCATCTACGAAAGTCTCGATGCTTTTTACAAAAGGTGCAAACCTGTYATAGATAACGCGTGAGCAAGGCAACAAAATCTTTTGTTCATATATTTGATATCACAGAAGCGTTAACATYTGAGTACGTTTGATGTGTCTGTACATAGAATCGACTCTATGCTAGAACTCCAGCATGCCGAATTCGATTGTAGGCTTTTTAGTACGTGAACCTGTGGCGGATTTAGGGGGGGTTCATTGGGTGCAAATGAACCCCCACCGGCTGGTACCATGGATTTTTTATATTTTTTTAAAATAAATAAATAAAAGTATGGTACTAACTCATGAGATTTAATATGAAATGGGACTGGTGGATAGGTTATCCTTATCAGGAGCGCCCCTAGGCCAGTGATGTGCCTCATGGGAAAAATGATGATGCAAGAGAACGTTATTGTTGTGCCGAGATTTGCAAAAATGAACCCCCCCTCTTAAAGTCCTGGATCCGTCACTGTGAACTTAGATCGATATCTCTGATCGCGTGAGTATGTAGTGAACGTGTAGGCATATTGATGATGTAACGGTTTCCTAGTAGTAATTACAGTTCCTCTTGAACTGCTTGTTTGCCTTACTTTTCTCACCGACAAACGCATTGCGTGCCTTGCTATTTTTGTGTTATATTTGCTCAGTTTTATCGCGTTTTTCATAAATTAAAGACATCAATTSTCATCGTGATATAGCCCCGCAAAGCGGAACGCAAGAGTCATTGCAGAGTACAGAAGAGTCCAACGAGGGGGTGTTTATATAGGGCAAGCTCTAAATAGACTGTTATATCATAAGGTTAAGAAGGTCACTTTTACTACGATTTCGATTACAACAACACTTTATACTTTTATGGTCAAGGCGTAGCAATGTTTATATTTGGTGGAATCAAAACACGTTGCATGGTTAAACAGATAAGCAAACTTTTGAATAAAAGAAATAGGCTTGGCCCTATCGAGGTATGCCTCCTTATCTGTATTGACGCACGTTATTTCCTTTTTTTTTTTTTTTTTTTTTTTTTTTTTTTTTTTTTTTTTTTTTTTTTTT